GTTCCTCACCGCACCCAGAAAGAAAACCATAGATAACTCCAAATTATACATCTCATATCCCAGCACTATCTCTTAATTATTAATGGCTATGAGATTAGGTACAATTAATATCCCAAATTCCTTCTCCTTCATCGCCAAAATAACCAACCCTTGCATCTCCTGTGCGCTCTCGGCCATTAGCTGAAAGCACCCAGAAAAGCAAGAACAGCCACACTCAGTCGAATTAGATTTATGCAAGTCTCCTGGCCCAATCATTTTCATTTGACTCCATTGCGCGCCCCTCCGGTACCAGGTGGTAGACGACATTGATCGTCCCCAAATCGTGAGATGTTTAAAATGATGCCCGCTCCGGCTATTGGCAACGGTGATCGCTGAGGCGTCGGCGTCGGCGTCGCCACCGTGAAGTGATCATGCACGTAGACCGGAAGACGATTAAGGATTTTGAAGGAGAGGTTTGGTTTTGGGTACGGCGGTGGGATAGCGGATGGAGACGATTTGTCCGACAACCATCGCTTAGAAGAGGAGATCTTTTAGGATAAGGACAAGGAATTAGGATACCAAGTTATATATGTGGAGGTCAATTGAGAAGGGGGAAGTAATTAGGGTTGGGAAATTTTTGGCAGGAAGAAAGAATTAAATTAATTGACACGCATGATTTTTTAGGCCTATTATATTGGTTGTCACATTGATGGCGTTAGTGCTTTGGTCAGCACAGTTAAGTTGCCATCCATCAGAGTTGGACGGAAATGATGGATGGTATTGGTAATCATCAAGTTTAGTGGTTTAGCTGAACCAAAATAGAGTACAGTGGTCAATGTAAATTAATTAAGTGAGTTAAGTGATGAGTAGTGATTTTCACCCAATGGAATGGGTTGGAATTGCATAGTAGAAAAAGCATATCCGCCACATAGTTGGTCATTGAGATTACAAAAAAACGTTCAAGTTTGGTCACTCGAAATATTTAAATCTATTTTACGGAAATCGTTCACGTTTGGTCACTCTCCGTCCAACTCCGTTAACTTTTGCTTACGTGGCGATCAACTCTAAAAGTTGACCGTTAAATGTGTGACGTGGCAATTTAAAAATAATAAAATTTTTAAAATTGTCATCTCATTTCCACCTCATTAATTTTTATTTAAAATAAATAAAAAAATCCTAATTTCTTCTAATCCCAATACCAATACCCGCCGGCAGCATATCCTAAGAATGAAATAACAACGAAGAAGATAAGGCAGTTGCTAGGTTACGCAGCTGCAGAAGAACGAATTATGGGGAATCGTTAGAGTGAGCTAGCTGCTCATCTCTTCCTTTTATACTTCACAAAACTCAGAATTCATCTACAGTAAAAACTAAACACAACAGTAAGTTTAAAATAGAACTGTAAATAGCCGACACGTGGCTTTCACTCGGTCTGTATCTAACAACAGCTACGTCATCACTTTTCACAACGTTGTCGTTTCACTTCCTCTGCTTTTGGGTTTTGCCTGAAACGAAGGCCTCTGCATCTTCTTCTTCTTCTCTGCTACTGCTGCATTCATCAGTCTGTTCTGTCACTCCCCCACAAGTTGGCGAGGTAATGTAGCCAACTTTCTTGGAACATCAAGCCTTGACCAGGAGCATGTTTCAAGTACCTGAGAATTCTGTAAGCATCTGAAAGGTGTTCAATGTAAGAATCTTTTTGAAATTGGCACAATTCTTGCACATAGAAGGTCAAATCTGGCCTGGTTATAATGAGGTAATGTAGCCTCCTGACACGCTAAAACACAACACCAAACTGCGACCAAGTGTAATCGCAGTCCGGGAATGCAGTAACAGGCAAGCTATATTATCCACCCGGGGTCTAGATCTACTGCTTACTCCGTGATTCTCTATTATCTAGCAAACTAGTTCGAGTGATTGTTGTTAAAAGTCAAAGCAGCAAGAAAACAGTAAATTGTTCGGTTTTCAAAGTCAGGAAAGAGTCACTCGGGATTGAGTCCTCCTAATTCCCTAGTTAGGTTCAATTGTAATTCCCTGGGTTGATTTACTGTTGATTAGACTGCGGAAGATCCGACAGTAGCTTGGAATCTCTTAAGCTGACCAAGCTCTCTCAGTCTAACTACCCGGCAGATGACTAGTCTTCACCGGGATAGAAAGCTGAGGCTATGAACACATAACTCCACTACTGGAATTGAGTTCCAGTACAAAGCAGTAAACTGGCTAACTCTCGTATAGCCAATCTCCTACTATCGAATGAAGAAGCTCTAACAACCTAATCAGATTCTATCTATCTCAGGTTGTAGCAGAAATTGAGAAAAGCTGATCAGACTCCAATCAATTCGATAAACATGCGTCATTCGATTAAAATCAAACAGTAATATCATCCCAAGTCATTACAATCAAATCCCTAACACCAGAAACTAGGGTTCTTCATACCCAAGTGAGAGAAGGGTTCTACTCCATAGAGAGAGAAGAGAAAACAAGAATCGGATTAGTCATACTCATAACGATGAGGAAAATCTGCTCCGGGAAGATGATTTCCACTCCTATGACGATCTCCAAGCTCGATTCGATGAAATCCAGCTCTAAGACAACTTCTAGGATGTGTTCTTCGCACTTTCTCTTTCTAGGGCTCTGTTTTTGCTCTCAAAACACGATTCTCTCACTTTTGGCTCGGAATAGGCTCTAAAACCAGGATTTCCCGACCCGCACGGCCAGGGTGCACGGCCGTGCAGATCACCCACTTGGCCGTGCAACTCAAAACGCAGCGTGTCGTTTAGTTCGATCTAAGGCTTCTCGCACGGCCAGGGTTGCACCTTGCACGACCGTGCGATTCCCATGGCTTGCCCGTGCGTGGCCTCGGCAAAAAGCGCACGGCCATCTTGCTCACGTGCACGGCCGTGCGGTGCCCTGGTCTGCCCGTGCAGCCTCCTTGAAACCTCGCCACTCGTCCGATCTTCGTCCAATCGACCCCAGACTCGCTCATAAGCCTTCATTCACGTACTAGGACCTGAAATATCACAAACAAGCACAACCTAGCGTGAAATCAGCCTAAAACACGAGAATCAAGACCTCAAACGGTGTAAGAACGAGGGTAGAAACATGTGTAAATGACGGTCTATCAAACTCCCCCACACTTAACCGTTTGCTTGTCCCCAAGCAAACCAAGTCAAACACCAGGTAAGCTTACATATTTCAATCAACCAACATTGGGGACAAGTCATAAAGGCACAGAACACGTGAATCGCACTGGTTTTCGAACATCAATACATGAACAACCTCAATAACAACCTGGACAACCACCACAAAGGACATTCGAGTGCAGCAAATCGAGTAAAGGAAGAGTCTCCCTTCTGTTCACCGGCCAACCTAGACTTGATTCAACCACTTACTCAAAACAGTCAACTCATGCATCCAACTCAAGACATCAGAATAGAGACCGAGCAATCTAGGTCCTCACCGGGGTACAAGAGCATATAGAAAATGAAAATGAATCACTCACTCTCGACCAGTGGGGTCAGGACAATTTGATGCGAAAGATGCGCATGCTATTTCTCTCAATCCCTATTAGGGATGGCAATGGGTCGGGTTGGGGCGGGTTTTGCCAAACCCGAACCCAAACCCATGGGTTTGTCCGTCAAAAAAACCCGGGGTAAAACCCGCTGGGTTTGAAAAACTCAAACCCAACCCAACCCGCTGGGTATCCCCGGGTTGATGGGTTACCCGCGGGTTTTTTTGGTAAAATATTTATAAAATTATAATTAACAAGAAGCTATTAAAAATAAAAATATTTATACTGATAGTTCATAATTGCTACAAGAAAGGCAGAGAACGAATTTGGACTTATTTTTCTCTTTATAGAATATGTTGTGAGATGATATATTATCAACACTATGAAGGATGGGGCAGCAGAGAATGAGCTAAGTGTATATTATCTACTGAAATCATGTGCCGTTTTAAAAGCTTTAGCTTAAACCCTCTATATGAAATCATTGTTTCTAAAGCTACATATTGGCACATACCGTTATATTTTGAGGATAAGTTCCAGTAAGCTCTCTGAACCGGCATACACTGAAGAGAAGGTTTTCAAAGCTGTCTCTTGCATGTTCTTCAGTCAGTGTCCTCCATTTCACACTGGCTTCATTACCTGTGACCATCAAAGGGTTCAGATCAAGATCTTGGATACTTTAAACCAATCAATTTCGATCACAACACTAAGAAAAGTGGCAGAGCATGTTAGGTGCTTGGTTAATGCAAAATTCAATAACAGTTAAGTCAGTGCAGTATATCTTGATTATAACAAGCCAGGGCCAGCCTACATAGTAAAGCAGCTTAGCACAAACCCTGCTGCTTGGAAAAACTACTAGAGCCTCTTGAGCTATCAGGAAGAAGTTCATCAATTGAGAATCATAAAGCATGATATAGACTGATTCTGGAAAGTATCAGAGAACCTGAAGACACATTTTTAGTTCCATGAATTGAAATTCAACAACCATACTATATTCCATTTTTCTTCATCATCAAGCTTTGGATAATCAAGCAAAATACCAGAGAAATCAATCCAGATAAAAATGCGGACTTACATCCAAAGGTATTAAGAGAAAAAAGTTAAATCTTTCAGAAGAGGAGAAGGATGATTTAGAAAGTGGTGAATCAGGAATCACGATTCACAACTAGTGGCCACTTGGCACTAGCAGTCAACAACGACAAAGAGCAACATGGTAGAGGGCTAGGTAAAGGGTAAGTGGACGACAATGAGAAGGTTCTGGGTTTGTGGCTACTAGGTGCTTATGGTTGACGACGATGTAAAGCAACAGGGCAGCAGGCTAATCGAAGGGAATAGAGGGACGACAAGGTTCTAGGCTTGTGGTTGTTGACCCCTGGCAGTCAACGTTGGCTAAGAACAATAAGGTAGAGGGTCGTTCGAGGGGAATGAAGCCTGTATGCTTACCTTTGCAGAAGTGCTCTCGCGGAGCAGAAGACCAAGGAGAGGGCGGCGGGGGAGGCCGGCGGGGGAGGGCGGCGGGAGTGGAGTCGGAGGCGTGCGCCAAGGAGCAGGGAGAGGGCGTCGTGACTGAAGTCTGAAATCGGGAGAGGAGTCGGAGGCGCGGCCGCGTAGCAGAGGAGAAAGGAGAGTTCGCCGGGACGGAATCGGGAGTGGAGTCGTAGGCGCGGCGGCCGCGTAGGAGAGTTCGCCGTGCCAGACTGGAGACTGGACTCTGGTTCTGGTAGGGATGACTGGAGATCGCGATTTGCGAAGGGAGAGGGGCGGCAACAGTCTTTGGGAGAAAGGAGAGGGGCTGCCGAGTACTCTTGGTCGATTAGGGATTTAGGTTTAGGTTTAATCCCCTCTCTTCTCCATATGTCCGGGTATCCACGGGTCGGGTTCCCTCAAACCCGAACCCGCCCCAACCCACCCAAACAGTCACCGGGTTTAAACCCGAACCCGGCCCGAACCCAGTCAACACGGGTTTTACCCGGTTTGACCGGGTTGGGTCGGGTCGGGTACCCGCGGGTCCGGGTTGAACTGCCATCCCTAATCCCTATCATCTCTTCACCATGATGGCAGCCTCTAAATGCTAGAGTTCACATATGGGGTGTCACCACTAACTAATCAGGAGGTCTTAGACACAGGTTCAAATGACTGGCTAGGGTCTTGGACATGGGGAAAAGGCCTTTTAGGTGGTGGAAGTATTCATAGCAAAAGGTTCCACATTTTCCAAACACACAATCACAGTCAAACAAACTGGTATTTTCTTTCTGCTATTCTGCATTACTCAATATCTCAAGAGCACAAAAGCGAAGGAGGCATAAACATCAGCATTTCCAAGCCAAACTGCGGCCAAGTGTAATCGCAGTCCGGGAATGCAGTAACAGGCAAGTTATATTATCAACCCGGGGTCTAGATCTACTGCTTACTCCGTGATTCTCTATTATCTAGCAAACTAGTTCGAGTGATTGTTGTTAAAAGTCAAAGCAGCAAGAAAGCAGTAAATTGTTCGGTTTTCAAAGTCAGGAAAGAGTCACTCGGGATTGAGTCCCCCTAATTCCCTAGTTAGGTTCAATTGTAATTCCCTGGGTTGATTTACTGTTGATTAGACTGCGGAAGATCCGACAGTAGCTTGGAATCTCTTAAGCTGACCAAGCCCTCTCAGTCTAACTACCCGGCAGATGACTAGTCTTCACCGGGATAGAAAGCTGAGGCTATGAACACAGAACTCCACTACTGGAATTGAGTTCCAGTACAAAGCAGTAAACTGGCTAACTCTCGTATAGCCAATCTCCTACTATCGAATGAAGAAGCTCTAACAACCTAATCAGATTCTATCTATCTCAGGTTGCAGCAGAAATTGAGAAAAGCTGATCAGACTCCAATCAATTCGATAAACATGCGTCATTCGATTAAAATCAAATAGTAATATCATCCAAAGTCATTACAATCAAATCCCTAACACCAGAAACTAGGGTTCTTCATACCCAAGTGAGAGAAGGGTTCCACTCCATAGAGAGAGAAGAGAAAACAAGAATCGGATTAGTCATACTCATAACGATGAGGAAAATCTGCTCCGGGACGATGATTTCCACTCCTATGACGATCTCCAAGCTCGATTCGATGAAATCCAGCTCTAAGACAGCTTCTAGGATGTGTTCTTCGCACTTTCTCTCTCTAGGGCTCTGTTTTTGCTCTCAAAACACGATTCTCTCAATCCCTATCATCTCTTCACCATGATGGCAGCCTCTAAATGCTAGAGTTCACATATGGGGTGTCACCACTAACTAATCAGGAGGTCTTAGACACAGGTTCAAATGACTGGCTAGGGTCTTGGACATGGGGAAAATGCCTTTTAGGTGGTGGAAGTATTCATAGCAAAAGGTTCCACATTTTCCAAACACACAATCACAGTCAAACAAACCGGTATTTTCTTTCTGCTATTCTGCATTACTCAATATCTCAAGAGCACAAAGCGAAGGAGGCATAAACATCAGCATTTCCAAGCCAGACTGCTAAGAAACACTACTTAATGGGCATTATTCAGATTTTTGGTAGTGGCTCTCTTTTGCTTTCAATTTTTTCTTTGTTTTCTTTCATTTTTCTTTTATTTCTTAAGAGAGCCACCACTTCTGCATAAATTTCAAACACCTGCCCAACTTTTAAGCACTACCTCCAACACTCACATAGACTTTAGCAGAAACAGCAGAGAATATGTAAAAACCACTCTGTGGAACCTTCTAAAAGATGCAACAAGGGTGATTTTTTCATTATAGACCAAAAGAAAGGATAACACACGGCTCAAAGGGGCTGACTAGGGGATATGACACATCAGGACAGTCAGTTTTGGGCGTGGGCTAATCCTATGCCCCCATCATCTAGCTAGTGACAACGTGAATGCTACACATCATGGAAGAGGGATCTATCGCACAAGAAAGAAACGAGCAGGCTCAAATCTCACATGGCTACCTATATGCTCTATCTCACATTCTGATACCCTGAACTAGATGCATAAACGACTGTCAAGAACAAGTAATCAGACCAAGTCACAGTTGGCAAGCAAACAGTTGAAAAACTGAACCCCTACATCGTTCTACTGCACATCTCAGTCCTCATCATAGGTTGTCCTAGTCGCAAACAAGTTGTCATGCATTAATCCGAAAACCAATCAATTCATCCATCAAAACACAGTGCCAATATGATCAAACAGCAGTACTTGGAGCCCTCAAATCGTAAGATTCGGACAGCGGACTAGGCTCCAAGCACCCAAATAAATATTCCAACCGATACAAAGCACCCCCCCACACTTAAGCACGACATTGCCCTCAATGGAGGAGAGGGAAAGAGAAGGGGAACGATGTTACCGGATTGGAACACTGCTGGGGGACTGGAAGTGGACCAGTCAGCGAGAAACAAACGGGAGAGTGGACAATGCTGCACAAATCGAACACCAGAAACACACTAGCACACTGTGCGTTAGGGATAAGTGTTAGCCCAGACGGCACACAAACCACAAAGGAAAACCAAAAACAAAAACAAACGACACTAAGTCCAAGCTCCGCACACATGGAGCAAACACACAAGAGTCTAAAACGAAAAAGAAAACACACTGAGACGGGCAACGAGTACAGCCTACTCGTCGCCAAGATCGTCGAGGTCGATGTCGTTCATGAACGCGTCATCATCAGCAGCACCATCATCACCATCATCACCGTCAGCTGGGGCATGTGGAGGGGAGTCATCCCAGGGAGTCCTCCAGACAGGTGGCTCGCCCGGGAGCAGCTGGAGCAAGTGCTGCTGAACCTCCTGCATGCGCCGTGAACGGCGCTTCTCCCGCTCGATGGGCGAGAGTCACGCCCTGCTGAGTCTGGATCATGTTCAGCCGCTCGTCATAAGCATCCATCCTGTTCCGGTACTCGGCCTGGTCTGCCGCGTACTGCTGATGGAACTGCATCTGCTGGTCGAGGATCAGCTGGTTCTGGATCCTCAGCTGCTCGAACTGATGGGCGAAGTAATCCTGGCCCTGGAAAGCGGAGCTGCTACCCCCGTAATGGAAGTCAGTCTGTGGTGGATCATCAGCAGCAGCAGCATCCACCTCCTCGGGATCCACCTCATCAGCAGCCTCCTCCTCCTGGCCCTCTGGCTGGGCCTCTGGTACGGGCTCCGCGGGGATCGGAGGTTCCGGAAACCCATCGACCCATTGAACACCGTTCCTCTCCCGCAACAGCAGCATCTTCCCGATCGTCTTGCTGCCAAAGATGAGGGTGTCCCCCTCCTCGGTGCACCCCTGCAGTGAAAGGCCAAAGAAGGTGGCCAGGCGGGTGATGAGGGGGCGCAGTGGAGGCTCTTCAGCTCTGTAGCAGTCTTCTCGAAGGTCTTGGCCACCACCGAACCCAGGTGGAGAGGATGGTGGCGCTGGCGGATCGAATGGAGGAGGTACAGGGTCCTCTTCGTGATGGCGCCGGCGCTTTCAGCTGCAGGAGTGTAAGACTTCGCCAGCAGGTGGTGGAGAAGTCGGTTGTCGATCTGCAGGGTAGATGCCTTCGTCCTCCCGGACCGGAAGGGACGCGTCTGGCCTGGCCGAGCCAGGCTGGTGTACAGCCTCCCGAAGTCCACCTCCGGTGGCTCATTGACCTCGGTGATGTAGTCCTGACGGTCGTCGAGGTCGAGGTCAAGAGCCTCGGCCAGCTCGTGGTAGCTCATGGACCGGGGACACCGCCCAGCCTGAATTTGACGGCTGTACTGTCCTGCCAATTGGTCGTGGAATTGTGCTTGAAGGTCGTGTAGAACTCCCACACGGGCTCGTAGTAGACCTTCTCGCAGAGGATGAGCAGACGGCGCCATGCGGTGTTGGCTACGGCGGCGGAGAGTTGCTCGTAGCAGTGTAATTGCCGAAACTCCCGTTTGGACCAGCAATGGTGTGACCCAAACGGGGTTTCCGCGACCTCCCTGAAGCGCTCTGCGGTGGGCCCCTCCTTAGATCCCGGATGAACGGGTGCTGGAGATTAGGTTTCGCCATTGCCCTGCAAAACAACAACCCAAAGTGGAACCAAAAGAGCCAAAGAAAAAGGTCAAGCACACCCCCACACTTAAGAACAGAAAACAGCCTAACCATGGTTTCATCCATAGTTCGGGGGTCAAAAACTCGATAAATCAAGCATAATCTGGGTGGGGGTGCACATTCACAAGAAAATAGGCAACTCAAGGTTCACATCCATAGCAAATACACCTCAAACTACATCATTAAGGGCCCCAACCGGTGGCCACAACATGGCATGGAAAACAGGCATTTCATCGAACACCTTGTGTGCACTACTAAGTTAAACATGAAATTGGCCAAATTCTTGCACACAAGGGCTCAAACAAGCAAAGGGGACTTTGCCCAACACAATTCATTCACATCCCATGCATTCCCCTCAATCATTTTCACAAAAATCAATGATTCAATAAGGTTCTCTAACATACACCCTACACACTCAATTCTCCACAATTAACATAGTTAGGGGCAAAATCAAACCTGGAGACTCAAGTAGAGGTGTAGGGGATGATGAGGGGAAGACAATGGAAGCGACGAAACGCCGAAAAACTGGCCGGAATGCCAGTCGGAGTCTCGCCGGAGTCTCGCCGGAAATCGCCTCCGGCGACTAAAACGTCGCCCAAACTCGCTCAAAATCGAGGGATAGGCCGCTTTGGGTGTAGAAAGAGTGGGTTTGTGGTTGGTTTGGTGAAAAAATGACCCAAAGTGGCCGAAAAAATCGAAAAAGGGTGGTTTTGTCGCGGTTTTCCGGCGAGGGCAGAGGATTCCGGCGAGATTTTTGGATTTCTGACCAGAATGGCCGTGCAGGCCATTTATATAGGCCGTGCCTCGGCCGCACGGGCAGGCACGCACGGCCGTGCACGGCTTGCTTTTGCCCGTGCAGGCCGACACGGCCTGGCCGAGGATCGCACGGCCGTGCACTGGCACATTTGGCCGTGC